GGATGAACAATGACAAAGGAATGCTTTTGTTGCAGTTCATTTGAACAGCTAGTGACGTGATTTCAGACTGGAGGTCTTGTGTTGGTCCTGTAAAGGTCTTAAGTGGTCTCGACTACAAGGCTGGTCTTATCGTGATTTCTTCTCTATGATAATGTCCATGAAGATCGATAGAATGATAGAAGCATACATATCATCAATTACATGTATCTGATGAAGTGATCCCCACAGCCCCATGTCTTGCAAATCAGACATTCCAAGATAAACGTGTTGGAAAAAACTTTCCACTTTGCAACATGTTGTTAGCGACTTTGTTATGGACTGAAGAACGTTGTGCACAGTCGTGAAATGTGAGAGTTTCCACATGCTCTTCCTCACTTAGTTACAGAAATGGTATTTTAATTAAACAGCAATTTATTAATGAACCTTTTTTTTTCACTCGGTGGAAACGGGAAAATCTGGGGGTCTTTATTTTTTTCCTATCACACGGCACACACTGTGTGTCACTTCATGAGAACACACGTACGTAAAACATTGTAAAGTTTGTCATATCTTAACATGTGCATACATGTGCGTGTAGTGCTTCCAGGTCTTAATGTTCATGTGCATGTACATTGTAGGTAACATATTTGTAGCAGGAAATTAAGAGTTTTTAGTTTGTTCTTGACTGCATGCCATCATATCAGTATTTTGTAATAGCTTTGCATAGAGTATTTCTTAGAGTTCATGTACGTAGTAGTTGACTCGTTTGTAACCAGAAGAATGTTTTATTTAGATTTTTACTGCGTGTATTCATATCTCTATTTTTTCATAATTTCATCCCATCCTGAAAGAAATGCTAAGAGTGCTATCCAGCCCTTTATATCTCTATTTTTCCATAATTTCATCCTATCCTGAAAGCAGTGCTAAGAGTGCTATCCAGCCCTTCGTCATAGTTTGTACTTGGCAAGCAATTTATTTCACAAAAGCTTATTATTATATGTGTCTATTCTTGATATGATGTTTAGTTGTTTAAAACTTATCAGATGCATAGCATCCAATACTAGCGAAATACTTAGAAGGAACCGTAAGAACGGTATATTTCTCTGGCAGACATAGTCTGTGGCCTCAAGTTGAAGAGAATATTGTGGATGTGTCGGTCGGGGTTGGAAAGTGGGGTAAATGAAATTTACACACTGAACTTGTCAAAAGAGAAAGAAGACTAAGCCTACTGGATTACACTACAATCCAAAAGAACTTTATTGCCTGTGTGGTCGATGTAAAGACAGGGTGTCCTTGACGTGTTGAAACTCAACAATTGTGCCTTGGTTCGTTCCTGACAGTTTTGACGGTCCTGGCCTCACAGCTTGCTGGACTGGGTTGGACCAGACTTATTCTTTTTTTTACAGTATGTCTTTTCTCTCCTTGACAAAGTTTAAATGGACATTGTTCAGTCAACCAGATTTTGATTGATGGTGTATTTGAAATGCTTGTTCGTAGTCAAGTCGGCATGGCTGAGTTCAACATGTAGTTGAATTTTTTTTTTTTTTTTGGGGGGGGGCTTTATTCGTCTCCAGCCCCATACAGTGTCATGGGTCAAAATGTTGTGGCCTCTTTGGTATCATTTTTGATGTTGCCCTTGTTGTGCATGTTAAATGCTTAAAGCGTCAATCTTGTGGCTGAAAAGGAAGAAGATAACTGAAAATTGAAAGGCTTTTGAGCAAACTATTTATACTTTTTCATAATATATTTAAGTGGCATATATGTAGGTTTAAAATATTGAACATTTAAGAAGTACTTTCATGGCTCATGTACGTCTACTTTGGTGAGAAAGGGACTGGGGTTGGTAATTCCCGTAGAAGTGTTGTACAAAATCTACTGATAATATAGAACGTAAACGGCTGAAAACTAATAATCACGACCTAGTACTAACTTATGTACACGTATGTTGGTTATTATTCACTTGGTATTTACCCCTCGGACAATTTTGATCAGCGACAATTTGTCTTCCACTGTGTGGTTTTGCCTGGTATCTAGTGTATATTTTATGCATAGGTTACCAGTCAAAATCGATCAAACCGATTGACAGATGATCGGTGATATCGAGCTTGCTCTTTAACGGATTTGAAGAGTTCCATGTAGAAACTTGATCTGCTCGAAATGTGGTCTTTAACCGCCTAGTTACGAATTCAGATATTTTTTTAAAAAACAAGATTTTTTTGTCTTTCATGTTTTCTTACCAGGAAATCATAAGCAGAATTTAAACAGGGTTGAGTGAAAAGAGAGTGTCGAGAGTATAAGTTGATTTTCATGGACATTTGCCCTCTCGATCAAATCATTCTCAATTAAGAAAGTGTGCTTTGTACCGTCAAAGGAGTCTCTAGGATATAGGGTCAAAGAACCTTTAAGTTCTAGTCTAAAATCCTGCCCTTTGTACAGGTTTAACGTTGAAGTTAATCGTTGAAGCTACCATATTTATCACCAGTGGCTTATGGGGGTTGGGGCCAGACACCCCAGACACCTTTTGACGAATTTTAAAGCACATGAAGTTTAGAGACTACTCTAGCGTCTTCATTTGAAGAGGAAGGTTGTTTTAATGATGAAGAAAGGAAACATCACAAATGATTTCATTCAAAACATCCCCATTTTGGCGAAAAGTGTTTTTTTTACCTCCTCGCCAACTTGTTGAAACCACTGTTCATCACCAGTAGAAAAATTAAGAGTTTAAAATTTTACTGTAATTACTAAAGTCCAAGGAAATCACGGAAGAGGAATAGTGTATAAGCAATGGAAGGAATGAATAAAAGACGATTTTACAAAACAAAGCTTGGTTTGTTCAGAGTATGTCATTTGGAGTACATGTATTTTTATTTGGACTGTGCATGTAACAATCTTTAATAAGTTTGTGTTGCTATGAGCTTGAACTCGGACTGTAGGATCCGGTAGGCCGTCCTTTTTGATTTCTGTGATTCCCATAGTCTGCTCTCAAAGTGGGTCGGTGAAAAGCTTAGGCATCTGAGGCTATTAGACCATCAACCCAGGGCCTCGAGGTTAGATGAACGAGATACCAGTATCTGCATACTGCAGCATAATTATAGGGGTCCCCCGGTACGTACAGAAATATACAGAGCACAATTTTGTACAAGTTTAAGGAAAGAGATTCTTTTTTCCCGTCATTTTAAATGAGTTCAAAAAGACAAAAAAAAGCATGAAAAACGTCTGCCCTCTTCGGTCAAAGACCAACACTAGTTTCGGTTTGATATGAGAATCAAACAATTTTAGGATGCCCTTTAAAGGGGCCTCAGATCTGCCATAATGTAATCTGATGCGAAATGCGATTCTGACACCAGATGTTAATTAATATGCAACATGCAGAGATTTAGCAAGCCGTAATGTTTAACAGCAAAGAGTTTCGTCATTGCGCCTGATAATGCATTTGCTAAAGCTGATACTCGGTATATGGACGGCCATCTTATGTAAAATGTGAGTTGCCTTGTTTGATCCTTCAACGAATTCACTCTTCATGACGATATGTATATTTCTTGTCATTGTATTGACAACACTCAAATAAGATGCATGACATACCTATTATTATAACTACGTGTGATACGTCTGACTCATAAAAATGTAAAAACTACTACCGGAATTATGCAACCAATGGAGCTCATACGGGAAAAATAATTCGGCCGCAATTTACAGTTACACCACAATTGGCCCTCAAAATAAAATCACAGTTAGTAATATCTACATCTGTTTCTGGACTACTCCATCAAGCCCAAAACCCATTTGAGACAGTTCGTGGGTTATATCGACAAGGGAACAACGATAGGTTTTAGGCAGGATCTATATACATTTCCTCTGGACATCCGGAAAAAGTAGGCCCTATAGAGTAGGCCTACCGAAGTGAATACTTCACGCGCACAATTAGTGTGTTAAAGGCATGAGCGCGTGAACCAACACGCGCGCGTACTCCATTCGTTTGCACTGCACTTTCTGGTTCATAGTGACATCACACTTTGGTACTCAATTCGTTTGGAAAGTATTGAAAACATTTACCTAACCCCGAGTTTTCATCGTTAACAGTTTAAAGTCATATGAAACAATACGCAAAAGTACGTTGGTGGTCACTAGGTCTGTTAAAATAGAAAAAAAAAGTCTATTTATGCGGATGTAATGTTTCAAAAGTAAACGTTGACATTACCATTTAACATCGCCTAATCTTCATTATCTTTAAATATACATTGGTTTGTTTGTGGACGCAGTTTCCTATGCATACATTCACTATGCATAGACCTTACTTACACAAATTTTGTTACAGTTTCAAAAGTGATAGCGCTCTTTGTTGAAAACGAAATGGGATATAGCTATAAACATTTCATAAAAACCTCTGAAGGGTCATTATACCAAATCACATAGTACATTT